GCAATAAAATGAATAACCAATTATTTTGGAGAATTGGTGGACAGAGCACAGGGAGAAACTCCTTTCTCTGTTTTCTCTTTTCTTGAGCTGGATCTCTGTTAATCCTGAACGTGAGTTACACCAGAGAACACCAGAGATGAATTGCTTCAGCTGCCTGCGAGCTCTCTTTGTGATGTCGTCAGCTTGTATGTAGAAGTTCAAAAGCAGTTAACCATCCCTCGCTGAAATGGGGTTGTTCAAGCATGCTTTAGTTTATAGGAAAGTTCAGTGCTCTCAGGAACCGTGAACGCCAATTTGAGACATCTGGCATCATTACAATTGCCTCCTGCTGTGCCCTATTATGCCTCATAATGTACAAAAGACATTTGCTAGCTCATAACTTCAAATAGGTTGATCTTGTTGCCCAGCAAATGGTATCTTGATGTCAAATGTTGTCCGGTGTGTTTGGATTTTGCACCTTAACATTCAGCAACTGGGCTGCAGTTGATTGAAAAGGAACGGAAATCTTTAAACTGAAGATTTATTTTGAAATTGAGGACTTTTCCTTTTGGATTTTTAGTAACAGCCTTAATTTTGTCATCAGCTCGGCTCAGTTGGTAGCACTCTTGCCTTTGAGTCAGAAGGTTGTGGGTTCAAGTCCCACATCGGGACTTTGAGCTTGCAGTCGATACAGAGCTGGGGTGCGGTGTATTGATGGAGTTGCTGTTCTTCGGGTGAGACGTTAAACTGAGGCTCTCGTCTATTTGTTCAGGTGGCGTTTATCAAGATCCCAAGGCACTATTCAAAAAGAGAAGGGAGTTTCTCCCGGTGTCCGGGCCAACAATGCCCCAAATACAATTGGCTGCTGTGTTTTCCTACAGGGTAGTCTTTACAGTAAATTCTGCGAAGCATTTTGAGACATCCTCCTGATGTCTCCTATATTAGATACAAGGATTAAAATCTTGGGCATTAGTGCATTCCTTGAACTGCGGTGAAACATTCCACTTCCATTCTCATTGGCAACTTCAGGACAAAGCGCCTGAATTATAATCTTCAGATGAAGTAGCTTTAGGGAGTACAAAATGTTGAGATTTGTTTTTACTCTGATTTTTATTATTGTATGCATTGGTTGCTATGATTAGTAGTTTATTTATTGAAATAGTTTTTACCTGTTTTTGTTATTTTAATTGCTTCTTCAACAATGTTTTCAGAATGCCTTTCCGCCGCTTTCAACACTGCTTAAGATTTGTGAACTATTGAAACTCCATTTTAAGACACAAGATGTTACTTCCATTTTTTATCCACCTATGACTAATGAAATATAGTTTCGCAACTTTGGAAAAAAAATTCCATCCCGCAAAGTGTTTTGACTTCCATAACTGCAGAATAGTTTAACTTTTCCTTTGAATTCGCAGAACTCTTCAGTCTAACTGATACTTGTACATTCTCATCTTTCCTTTGGAACCAATATAATGATCAGATATCCTGTATGGTTATTTATAAAGCAGTGTAAATGAAGAAAATTCTAACTTTATTTTCATGCTTTTCCCCATGAATCTACACAGCACTTTTTGTTAATCTTATTTTTTTTAATTTTTTATTGTTGCTGCTTCTATTTTCCTTCTGACCACTTCTGGGCCATCACTTCTTACTGCTGTTTAATTTCGCTGCTAATTTCACTCCCTTATCAACCGTTTTAACTCTTCCTCTTTTACTACTGTCCTCGGACCTGAAAAGAGCAGTATGCCTACTACAACAAAATAAGTTGGAAGTTCTTGATCTTGTGTATAACTGTTTCATACTTTTTATTAGTATCGTAAATTGGTTAATCTTGCAAAATATTTTCCTCTTTATATTTCCAGTTAAAATCCTATGAAATGCAGCAATGATTGCAGAAATGGGAATACAAGTGCTGCTGTTTTAACAGACCAGACCTGATTCTTCTGTTACTTAACGTAGTTTGTGTTCTCATTGATCTATTCAGGAATGATCCAAAATCTAATTACAGGGTTAACATTGTGGATAATCGAGTGTAAACATCAATTTGCAACTGATCCTCAATTTATTCATTCTTCACAAAAGTAGTCTGAAAATATCAGGGAACAGCTTGTTAATTGAGGTTGGCATTCATTCTCAGTGTTGCAATCTGTTTTAAATCCAGTGCTCATTCCATTTCTAATCCTTCCACCCCCCCCCCCAATTTGTTGTCTTGTTTCTTACTCTGCCCCACACAACACATCCATGTGACTTAGAAAAGTGGACCTACTCCCCAGCTACTGGCTATTGCTTTTGGCTGTCTGCCAGAAGGTGGAAGTATGACCAAGAACTCTAGTAAGGAAATCGAGCTTGCTTTGCACTGACAAAAAAATTCAATCAGGTTGTCATGCTTTACCACATTTACAAATAAAATGTTGCGCTGCAGAAAATTAAAATTGGAGCCTCAAATTAAAATTTAAATAAAGGTTCATCATAAGATGTCGGTTTGACTAATTTCGTAGTTCATCATATTGCATTTTTATTAGTTTTTTTTAAGGGAAGGCTAATGTTTTACATTACGAACAGAGACTTGTGTGAGTAATGCTGGACAAGTTCAAGTGCAGAGAGCATTGCCAGTGCATTAGGAGTTGTCCCTGTATCTGCTATCTTGACTCCCAAGCAATAGGCAACAACAGACTACTGGGTAAATTGACTGAATGCTGATACAGCAACAGGTCATAGCAGAATATGACAGAGAATTAAAGACAAAAATGAAAGTTGTAATTGAAGCACTTCATTGAGAAATCAAGATTGCAAGATTCAGATATGTTCATAGGTACTGTCAATCCTTTTGGATTAGGCCATTAATAATGTGCTTAATTGGTGCGGTAGTAATTATACTTAACTCAAACAGAGCTCCAATTAGTCATTTCCGATGTGTGCTCAGACAGCTGTTCTAAGAACAAATTCTAATTGTGTACTTCATAAAAAATAAGAGTATTTCTGATAGAACTCTATGCATTACACCCAGTTTCCAGCACTTCCTGGCCTAGAATGACCAACTTCCAAATTTTCAGTGCCTTGGGATGCCTTCTTGACATGAAAGGCGCTATACTAATGTAATTTGTTGTTATTGCCAGTTCGCCAATGATGCCACTCCCTGTGTGTTGATGCTAGGCAGAGAAAGTACCATTTAAGTCACTTTTTGAAGGAAGTGGACATCATTTTCACAGTTTATATTCAGGGAGTGACTTCAGCAGCAACCTGACAACCCAGAAGTCAGCTGTTTTATTACGCTTTGCCTCTGAGCTCTTGACCAAGAAGAATAAATTCTGAGATTGCCCTGTATTCTGCAAGCTGTTTTAAAATTGAAAGGAAATACAATTGTTTTTGATTGCTTACAAAAATTTGGTCTGAAGAACTAAATATAAAATATGTTTTTCCCCTCTCTGTCCAATTCTCTTCGCCAAATTTTCTCACTTCAACAACAACAACAAAATTCCATTTATAAAGCGCCTTTCACGTCAGGAGGACGTCCCAAGGCGCTGCACAGTTGGGTCATGACTTCCTCTTCTATATGCATTGGACTACTTTCCCGTTCTATATTCTGATGAGTATCTCAACCAAATGGCTTTAATGCCTGTTTTGAGGGCGCACATAAGCTTATTGGTGTTTGTGTCTAACAATGACAAACACCTCTAGCCAAGGTTGCTGATCAGAAGGCCAGTTAATAAGCATCCTAGCTAATCTTCCCATTTTGTACTCTGAAGCAAATTGTAGTTGACGCTATTTTAGCTGTCTGAGATCAGCTGATTTAAAACCGAATGGAAATCAATCAAGCTAAAATTAAAGGGTTTTATTTTGTTTATATCTTCAGTTATTCCATACATTGCCATGAAACCAACTTCTGAAAAGCTTAATATGTTTTCCAAATTCAGAAGGATTATTTTTCCCTAGAATTATTTATCTGAATAATCTTGTTATACAAGCACAACTTTTGGATGGCAATGAACATATTGACAGGGAAATACTGTAATCTGTTTAGGATTAACTCTTTTCTGTTTGTACAAACCATATGTCAGGGATATTGAATGCTGTTCAAATGTGCTTTTCTTTAACCTGTATTGTAACTATTGCATAGTTTTCATGAAAGAGCATAGATGGGAAAGTCCAGGTTTTATCGTCTGTTAAGATTTTACCTTTAAACACAGTACAAGTAAATGGTGGAGAAAATATTAGTCACAATTGAAGGTTTCAGTACGTACTGCAATACATTTTGCTTCTTGAAAATTGTTTGAATGGAGTACTACTGGTTTATTCTGAGTTTATGTAAAAATGAATCCACAAACATGTTTGCCCAGAAGGCTTTAGATTACAATTGGAATTATTTAAAAGGGAGAAATAGGGGAATCTCATTATAACGTTGCCCTCTGGTCCCAATGGTTCAGAGGTTGTGTTATAACTGAAGTGCTAAACAAAGGCTAGACTTCTGGGTCTCGGGTCACGGTTGACGTCTCTTCACATGTGTGCTATGCACAAGAAGCTCTATTAACACTTCCTTTGCGAAGTAACGTGAGCGATGCTTGCAGCATTGTTGAGTGCTTTGAGACCTCTCCCAATGTGAAAGGAGCTACATAAACTGTCCATATGCATAAAGTGACATCATTCCCACTTTATTTGCATAATGTGCATGTTGCAACGCACTGCCATGTGCAGGAGGTGATATCAGGGATGACCAAACGATTCAGAAGTAGTCTTTTTTTAGCCCAGGAGGCCAACTGATCTGCTGGAGGCCAGGTGTACAATGCTCTATGTGCCCTTATGGGTAGAATGGCGTTAGCCAGTGCTCCCCATGGTAAGCTACGTGATTTATCTGCTTTCACTCCAGCATATAAAATGATCTGTGCCTGTATAGGACATTTTTTTGCATAGTGAGTAAACCTCCATGTCTGCTAAATTCAGAATGTCTAATTTACTGTTTTCATTAATCATAGTAGAGTGATTATATCTTTCACATAATTGAAACTGGTGTTTTATTTTCAAAGTATCAGCAGTACCTTAATGGATATGGACAGTACTATCTCTAGTGGACGCTCTACTCCTGCATTGATCAATGGCCATGGAAGCACCACTTCATCAGGAAAGAATATTATTTACAACTGCTGCTGGGATCAATGCCAGGCCAGCTTCAGCTCCAGTCCAGACTTGGCAGATCACATTCGTTCAATACACGTGGATGGACAGCGTGGAGGGGTTTGTGTTTTTCTTCATTCATATTTTGAAACTGGAGTGCCCAGTTTTTTTTCATTATTCATGTAACATGAATGTTAAAATCATGTTAGAACTTAATTGCTTGGAGATATTCTTTCTTGTGCACGGTTAAAAATGTTGCTGAGTTTCATTTCTAAGGGCTTCTATTTGATTGCGTTTTTATAATTAATCTAGTTGTAATTGGCTGGTCATAATGTCAGACTGATGCACCACAAGTGATGCTTCTCATTTGTCAAAAGCTACACTTAGTGGTTTAAGGTGGTCATTTGTCCTCAAAGTTCAGATACTGTTTAGTTCTGTTTAGTTACTGAATGTTTTGAGTGTAAAGAAATAATTTCTTCCCAAGCCACAAAGTCCCTGAGAGCCAGAACAGAGCCATGCTCCCAAATGTTCACAAGCCTCTGAGCTGCTAGGAGCATCACTCTCTAAGGTTCCCGTCCTTGTGAAGAGTTGCCTAGCTTTTCATTGGTCTCATGGGCAGAATGGTTGAGAACAACAACTTCACAACATAGCAGATTGACTTGAAACTGATGTTTCGTTATGTGCAAGTCTTTTATAATGTTGCTGTCACTTTACTGTGAGAAAATGAGTTAGTTCCGTTCACCTCTGAGGATAAAACTTGAATCCAGCCCAGACTAGTGGAATAAATGTGTTCCAGCTCTATCGATCCCAAGTGGAATGTGTTTGATCCTGTGTTTATGAGTTCCTCACAAAAACAGAGTCATTACACTTTACAGTAAATTCTGTGATACGCCTTGAAGTGTCCTCCTGATGTGAACGGCTCAATATCAAATTTAAGGATATTGTTTATCCCTCTCGGCCCAGTTTCTAGTTGATTTTTTTTGTGGGGTGGGAGGTGGATAATTTGGATGCAATAGAGGTGCTTGGAGTTTTCCTGTGTGGCGGGGCAGTAAAGCTCTAAATAGCTGTGATCTACCTGGCGTGATTGCTCCAGCTGATCTTGGATGTTCAAAGTGGACTGTTTGTTTCATTGAGCGGCCTGACAACATTTTCCTGATCCACAAATTCACCCAGAAATCCATGAAAAATTTACTTTAAAATATTTAGCTGCTGTGCAACTAAGTAGTATTTTAAAAAAAAGTCAGCTTTCTATGTTTTTCAGGTATTTGTCTGTCTCTGGAAAAGCTGCAAAGTGTACAATACGCCATCCACTAGTCAGAGTTGGCTGCAGAGACACATGCTTACACACAGTGGAGACAAGCCGTTTAAGGTAGGTGCAACATCATCAGCAAAGGCTCACTCATGATTGTATATAATTTTAATGAAGGAAAATATGTTTTCTCTCTTTATCAAATGATTATTCGAGTTAAGCGTATTGGTTAGAGCACTCGCCTTGCAAGTGCGGGGATCTGGGTTCGATTTCCGGACAGGGTGAAATGTCAGGCAAGTTTACTTACTCCACATGGCGGATTGCTTTTCCGAGGGTAATAATACCTTAAAAAAAAATTGGGTCACTCAATCCACTACTGTTTGTGGGACACTGCTGCGTGCAATTGGCTGCCACATTTCGCCTACAAAGTGTACAGTCAATTCACTTTGCAATATAGTCTGTGAAGTGTTTTGAGATGTCTCGAAGACGTGAACTGGCACTATATCAAATGCAAGGAATATTATCTTTGGATTATTATTTATCAGTGTGCGCTGGAATGTCAAAGAGCATCACATGTGGTAGCACAAGAGTGATTACCAATATTTCACAATATTTGAGCAGAACCTATAATTATTTCTGTATTAAACAAATTCATGGGTGTTCAAAGTTAACTACAGGGAACTCTCAAAATACTAGTTGATTTTGTTTGGATTAAATGACCAGAATATCAGGTTCAAACGTGGCTCTGGATACCAATTGTTGCAGGTATATAGCTTTCTTGACTAAAATAATATTTAATTCAAAATCTTAAGTGATTATAGGATTACAGTATTTGAGTAATGCCTTCATACTTCACTTGCTGCTAAGGTGGTGATTTTGAAATGAAGAACCTGAGATGATTGATAAGAATGTCGTACTTACTGTTGAGCAATTATTGTTTTAACTATGTTTAGCACATAAATGATGTCTGGCATTGTGTTTCCCATCTGTTTACCTAATTCAGGAAAGTATTAAGCGCACTTTGATGAGAGCTGAGGCTTGAGGTGCGTTGGGGTAACTGCTGGAGTGTAACCAGCTAAAACCATGTAGCTTGCCATTGATATTTCTGTCTAGAAAGCTTTCGAGCTGCTTGTCCAGCTAGGACCATCCTCCCGTTTAGGGCTCTGGCTTGCAGGATTAATAGGGGTGGAGTGGTAGGATTCCCTGCCCCCAGTGACTTGCCTGCCCTTCCAAGTCCTGCGGATGAGCCAGGCTGGCTGTGCTGTCATCAGCAGTGCCCTTGAGAACTGCAAACCTGCCTGACTCAGGACTGGACTACCGATCCTGTCACAGAGGGCTGGCTTGATTCCGACACTCTTCCTTTATCCCTCCGCCTTGCTCCTTCCTTCCCCATTTTCAGGTCGCGCCTGGAAACCTTCCTATTCGACCGTGCCTACAGTCACCTCCTCCTTCCCCCCAGCTTGGGGACCCTACCCTGCGTGAGAGGCTCTGTGTAAATGCAAGTTGTTGTTGTTGACATTACGTTACCAAGCATGTCACCTTGGAGCCAGTTCAGCTCCAAGGAGACCCCATTTACTATTTAAAGAGAAATTGTTTATGGATTCACTCTGTGTTTGATTCAAATTGACTTGCATCTCTAGTGCAGGATAGTTGATTGCACACTGATAAAACCATTTTGAAAGACACATGCATACAATATTATAATTGTGACTACGGTAAATATTTGATTGAAATTGTCATGTTTTCAAATGATCAGAACGTTGGGGCATCAGAAATCCTTCATTAGCTTTTGAAGATGGTGATGTTGATATTTTATGTACAGTAAAAGTCTACAGTGGTAAACTACTACAATCTACCCCTTTTGGTTTATGGCTTTGTTATTTACACTACTTCTGACAATTAAAATGTCACTTGGTGATTTTAACCTTTGATGACCAGGAGTTCACCTTATGGCAAAAATTATTTCCTCCTTTACCCTAATAATTCATAGTTGACTTGAGTAATGTAGGCAGATGTAGGATCCAATCTGCACCAGCAACATCTCACAAAATGCAATGAGAAAATGACATTTGTTTTGGTAAATTTGTATAAGGAAATAACAATAGCCATAGCACAGGGGAACTTATTGGCCTTCTTTGATTATAGTGGCAGTGGATCTATAGAGTCCACCTTAGTGGATCAGTACCAGCAGATAGAACATCAGTTTAATGACTTATCCAAAGAAAGACATCTACAACAGTATCCTTAAATATTGTGTCAGAGCATCACCTTAGTTATATGGGTGTTAGGCTGACTGCTTTATGTTGCTTATCTTATTACATTGTCCTTTTTTGAACGGAGGAATACTGATACTGAGCGAAACTGCTTTGCAAATTGATATTTTCTGTTTAATATCATTGTGTAGGAATGAAATAATTCTGTCTCATTGGAATAATTATAAAAAATGATGCTTAAAGTTCCTTCCCTTGATATTTTGTTATTCTTTGAAATAATCAATTGAAATCTGAAGTTTTCAAACCAGTGAAGGAAATCAATAAACAGGAGTGTTTTACATAAAAGTACAAATAGTAAACCAATTGGTCTGCAGTTTGGGAAATAACTTATTAGTACATTAGATTGTGACCTGACAAATTTAGAAGGAAGTATTCTCTATAGAGTTCAAAAAATGATTTGTGAAACAAATTAAATTATACAGCAAAGGTTTAATGGGCCGAGTAAGCTTTGTATCAATGGCTTTGACCTTTTTGAATTCTGTGCTATGTTAGATTTTCTGTTTAATCCAGAAAATGTAGCTAAATTTTGATTTCCACAATTGAGATTTAATGTGGTAAAATATTAATTAAAAAAAAATTACTTGTATGCTTGCTAGGCTGGTCAGATGGCGAAAAAGTTATTTTAGCGCTAAATTCAGAATTTATTGTAATGAATTAGTTGGGTGATGAGACAAAGAAAAATCAGATTATTCATTTTTATTGGTTGGAAGTTAGCTTTGTGTGTATAGTATTTTGGGGCGCAGACACACAAGTGTAGGTTTTTCACAGAATCAATCCTGGAAGTTACTACAAGTATTGGAAAGAACTGATGACATTGTAATGGTATGGTAAACCCATCTGATTCATCACTACCTCATGCATGCTTCAGCAAATAATGGTTAAGTCCACTTAAATTTTAAGGGATCAATAGGTTTAATGCTACCTCTTTTCATGGCCTTTCCCCACTCTTCCTCTAAGACCTCATTCAACCCTACCAACCCAGCTTCTCCCTTTGCTGGGCCAACATCGGCCTGTTTCATGTCCCCTGCCTTATCCGCTCCATGACTGGTGGGTGAGGTTTTCAGAATTCCATCCTTGCTCTCTGGATTTCCAGCCCAGAGTCCCTCTGGTTTGCCCCCTCCCTTCCCATGTTCAAAGCCCACCTCAAGACTTAACATCTTTGCCTGCGCTTTCAGTCATCTTTCCCTTCCCCACCCTCTTCAGCTCCCACCCTGCAGTTTTTGATGCCTAGCCAGCAGTGTAAAGTCCTCCTCACAGTGAAAAGCATTATATAAATGTACATTATATTATACCTGAGGTATGAAATCTTGTATCTAGTGCTTTGTTCAGACTCTTTGAACTGTTACAAACATTGAGGTGCATCTGCAGCAGCATTTATGTGCTTGGCAACAGCACCAAGATCTGACTTAAGCACAGCTCCTGTGGAAGGCTAAAAGCTGCACCCCATTGTCATGGAACATTGAGACAGGGAGGGGATCATCTTGGCTTTGGATTGTACTGAGCTGAAGAGAAAAGAATGAATCGACTCTGCAACCTGTCAGCAAGACTGCACTAATCCACCATTGAGTCAAGATTCTTATTCTTCAATCAACTTTTCTAGCCATCTTCGCCACTCATTTGGCCCAAATAAATAATATACTTAACATTCCTAACTGGAGTGATTGTACATCTAGTGGAGCAGGGGAAGGGAGTGGGGAGGTGAGAATCGCCACAGCCCCTCTTGATCGTTATTTATTTGGACTTCTCAGCATTGACGATAATGCACCATTCACCTACCCACTGTCTTAATTCAGCCTATCACTACCTGCAGTGATCTAGTCATTGCTTTTCTTTCAGATGGGAAGTTAACTGTTCTGTAGAGGGTGCTGTGATCAGCAAAGAGAATGTCACTTTTGATGACATCCACCAGATCACTGAAGACGTGGGACAAAGTTGGGACAAATGTACTGCCTTGAGGGATCCCTGCACAGGTATTGCAATAAGAAGACAAATGCTCATTTATCCTGGAAAACCCACTGACCCTATTTACCTCACCTGAAGACTTTTTTGTTTACCTAGTTCACTTCGAGTTGGCTCACAACATACGCACCAAACTTTTTTTAGGCTAGGTTTTTGTAGTTTATGACGACTTTAAAAGATAGAGCAACAGGTCCCAACTTCTTGCTCAGCATCTCGATTAAGTCTTCATTTCTGAACCATAAGATTAAGATCTCCAAAACAAAATTGATAATCAGATTGTTAGTTATGGTTGAGGGATTTCAACAAACTTCTCATTCACTATGGTTTACATCGATTGTGAACCTGACTCAATTCACAAATCGTAGTTATTGTAATCTGACTACTTTTTTGTACAATTTGGATTACCACTTTTTAGTTTTTTTTTACTTGTCATAGAAATTTACGGGTTTCATTTCAACATAGTATATGAATGGAATAGGAAAAAGTATTGTAATTACTATAGAACCCTTTGTGCATTCATTTTCTTCCCTGTTTAAATTTATAGTTTAATTTGGATTATACAGTTCTTCCTTTTTAGTAGTTTACCAGTAAGACAAAAAATGGACAAGAAACCATCCAAGTTTTCAATTTTGGGAGGATATCCTTAAACACTGAATATTTTTTAAGATGGTATGAACTTCAGCGATAATCACAACCCAAAAAACTGGTAGAATTGCAGCATTCAGCTCAGATGGATTATGCTTTGGGTACGAGTAGCTTTTTCAGGATCATGCTTATGAAGGAGGTGTTTCAACTTCCTTGTGCAAATCTTTATATTTTTCCCATTTTATGAAAGCAACTGCTCATACTGGACATTCTTTGTGTTTCAACTTGGACAGTGCACTGGGCAGGCTTTTTGTCTGGGAGGATAACAGCAGAATCAGATTGTGTGATTGTCTTCACACATTCTCCACAAACACACCAGTAAGTCATTGGCAGCAATCAGCTGGTTCATTTTTCCCCACTCTGCAGCTTGGGGAAATGAAGCTAATTGTACTGCCTCCAGAGATGAAAGTTGCCTTTCTTCAGCCGTGCACCGTTTGTGCATTTACCTACTTTTACCATTGGGAGAGGTTGCTTGTGCTTAATCTTGATTTGATTATTGCACTTCATTGGAATTCATGGTATCTGCCAAAGGATTCCAAAATGACTTATTGAACAAACATCATCACCAAATCCATCTCATCACAGAGGTGTGATACATAACTGTTTTTCTGCAGATGAGTAATTGTGGGCAGAGGCTTGACGTTGGGAAAAAAAATTATCGTTTTCCATTATTGCTTGCAGCCCCTTAAAATGCTGCACTTGGAGCAAGCTGATTTCAGATTTGTACGATTGTGACGGTGGTTTTGTGTTTGGGGATTTTACATGATCTGCATCTACTTTTGGTTGATCTTCATCCACTAAAATCATATCTGTTTTTTGGCTAATACTTCAGCACCTGGCCAAAGGACTAATTGATGCCAGTATTTATTGGATGAAATAAAGCATTCTGGTTGCTTTAGCTGGTGGAGGCAAAGCCAGTTCAAGGTGGCAACTTCCTGCTGGACCTTTTCTGTTGGCCTGGTCATGAAGTCAAATGTTGCATTTAGTGCTTTGTTGAGTACTTAGAGCTAATCAGAACAATTGATTAACACATTTAAGTAGGTATTGCCTTTTTACATAGAATGGATCAGCTGAATGAGGTATTGGTAACTGAAAGGTACAGTACTTGACGATCTGTTTTGCTTCAGAGTCAGTCCTCACAATTGCGAATTATCAAAGAATGCCATTTAGGAGAAAGACACATCCTGGAGTAGATGTTCAGTTCTTTCTGACTAGTAGATTTCAAAAGTATTCCTATCTACCTTACTGCAAAGGTATTTGTAAAATCTCTGTCCATATATCTACATGATATGTAATTCCTAAGTTTGACTAATCTGTTTGCTTCAGGGTGTATCCCTTTTGACAATTAACCCATGCCAAGACCGCAGCGCACTCCTTTATTGTTTCAAATAGTGTCACGGGATCTTTGAAGTCCACCCTAACACCCCAGACATGACCTCATTGTCATGTCTCATCTGAAGGACAGCACCTCCGACACTGCAGCACACTCCCAGCACTGGATTGGAGTATCAGCCAAGACTTTGTGCCGATGTGGGGCTAAAGCCCTCTGACTAAGCCTTTTGACTTAGAGGCAAGAGTGCTGTCAACTGAGCCAGGTTAATGTGTTGCGATTTCTCCATTTTTAGGTTTTAAATAATGGTATTAAAAAGATTTCAAACTGAAATTCTATAAATTGCCATCATTTTTACTTACATATGGAACTTTTGGCCCAAGTCTTATTCAAGGTCTGAATCATGGACAAGTGTTTTGGAAAGGGACCGTATTAACTGGGTATGCCTGGAGGATGTGTGTCCAGGGGAGTTGATAAGGAGCGGAAGAAAATACAAAGTTTGAATATAAAGTCTTTTTTGTTGTTTCTGTGTTTAAGACTCCTGTGAGCAATCTGTACATTATCAGCAATGCCTTTTTCTTACGAATCACTTAAATCAGAACGAGAATTATTTTCCAACTTATCATGCTATGGATGGTGCATTGGAAATCAATATAATATTTACAATAAACTTTCAGGAAATGAAGATTCCCAATCCAATAGAGCCAACGACTTTCCAGTTGTAATTTGAAGTGCTCTGAGACACTATCCTGCGTGGCGGGTGCTAAATAAGTGCAAGTTGTTGTAATGTTCAATCTTGAAGCCAGATTAATTCTTGCTCTGTGTACTGTAAGCAGATAATTTGTGTATGCTAACAAAATAAGTGCAATCGCTGAGTTCTGAAATGAAAAGAAAGCATTTCAAAGGAAAAACTGGGGATTGTTGAGAAAAAACCCTGATTATTCCTAGTTGCTATTTTAATTTTCGCTCCCCTTCCTCCATCCCTTCCTCTGTTTTTGGTTCCTGTGGAGAGCAGGTTGAGTCGGTAATTCTAGTTCAAATGAACTGGAACTCCTGTTGGAGCAGTTTAGGCTGTGCCTCCTGCTGCTGAAATAAAGGTATTGACCCTCACATCACTCTGTGGAGAACCTGCTGTAATTTTTGGAAAAAAAATCCACTCATTCAATCCATATGTAGAACCAGCAATTTCCTTTATGTTATCTGTGTGCCTCATGCAATACATATGTGAAATGATTACGTATTTATTTTTGTGAAGTCTCACAGCTGTGAATTCAGGGGCACTATCTATTTGTCCTCTACCTAATTAACTAGTGGATGTATCGGGCACTTTTGATCGTGGGCATTCTACTCATTTTTGCTGCTGTTATTTAGATAGTTGTCTGGATGAGTGAAAGTGCCTTGCTTCTTCAAGGATATGATGCTTTTAATACTAAAGAGACCACTGTAGATTGGTATATTAAAAAAAGTTACAGTACTTTTTTTTGTAAGTTCTTCTGAAAACTTGTCTTCACCAGCATTTGTATGGCATCCAGCTTCTGTCCCATTTAATGTGAATTAGCAGAGCTGTATTGATTGCAAAAGAAACGTCTCTGTGTTGTGTGTTTTGTTTTTCCAGTGTGTGGTTGGCGGGTGCACTGCTAGCTTTGCATCTCAAGGCGGGCTTGCTCGACATGTACCGACACACTTCAGCCAACAAAATTCTGCGAAAGTCTCCAGTCAGCCGAAGGTCAAGGAGGAGTCGCCTTCTAAAGCAGTTATGAACAAACGGCGACGCCTAAAAAATAAGCGGCGGCGCTCACTACGTGAGTGGTCACTAGACAGGAGTTAACCCTAACTTGACTTTTAGTCCAAGTTCATTTATGGTTGAAAGACGAGGGTTTTGTGCATGCTTTATTTTTTATTTTCGTTCACGTTGGTTGAGAGATATCTGTTAGTGACAAGTTCCCCCTCCTCATTATCCCCATTTCTTGGAATGGCATCAAGTTTGGCACAAAACCGTGTCTTTAATGTCGTTAGCTGTCTGTGAGGAAACCAAAGTCACAAAACCGAGCCCGGTAGCCGAGTTCTTGCCTCTTGCCACTTGTTAATTGAATAGTTAACTGTCTCCCAAAATCACCTTTGAGACTCTGGTTTATATTCAACAGTTTTTTGTGGACGTAGGGTGGGGCAGGAGGAATTTATTTTTAGTATTGCTGCAAGTTGGAATGCCCTGCTGGGTTGAAGCAGGATCGATGTTATTTTTTCAAGAGACAACTACACATATATTTAAAAGAATAATTTGCAGAATATGGGGAAATGTCAGGTAAATGGGACTGAAAGGATTACTCTTTCAAACAGCAAACACGGACCCAATGCTCCCTTCTATGTGCTGTAAATTTCTGTTTTTCATGCTTCAGTAGCTGTTTTCAAAGAAAAATATTTTGACAGATTCCACCGACACACATTTATAAGCGCTCCGAGACGCCGTCTGGCGCGAAGGGTGCTATATAAATGCAAGTTATTGTAAGAACCTGATTTATTTATATTTTATGCATTTTATGAATTCATTTTTTTTAAACCATTAGCACATGATTTAAATTTTAGTCCCTCATTTCTGCAGCTATTTTCAACTCCAGTTATTGCTGTTAATTTGAGAGTGATATTTTCTATTTAGCTCCAATCTTTCCTCTTTTGTTTAAATGGTAAATATATCAGATTATTTTATCAGTATGTGATGCTCACTGAGAAACCTGTCTGTTATAATTGTTTTTCCTTTACAGCAAGACCACACGACTTTTTTGATGCTCAAACAATGGATGCTATAAGACATCGGGCCATCTGTTTTAATCTTTCAACCCATATTGAAAGTCATGGAAATGGGCATAGTGTTGTGTTTCATAGCACAGTGAGTAAAACTTTGCTGTTTAGCTTTCAACCGTGAAAAATTAAATTCCTATAGTAAATTTTCCACTTCAGTGTAATTGTATTTCATAATCTAAAATAAACATAAAACTGTTGACAATACATCAGGAGAAACATTATAAGGCCAACACACGACTTTGGCTGCATGTTAACATAGCACATTATTAGTTTTGTTTAATGACCTCATTAAACTTATTTAGGCCAACGTGTGTAGCAAATAACACTCATTTTCACCTGTCACGTTGCATTTCCCATTCACAGTGGTGCTCCATTTTCCTCTGCAAATGGGCTAGTTACTATATTGTTTGTGTATTTTATGCTGGAAATAAAATTGTGGGCCAAGTATATTTTCTTATAAACTCAGTTGTGTACATGTTCAATCTGCTTAATATTGTGAGTCAAGTGAATTGAATTGCACAGATAGGTAGATTGAGTGTGAGTTGTGACTTCTGTATAGCTGTATTGCAATGCAAATCTACTTCTTTGGATGAGTTTTGGTGCAGGCAATCCTAGTGGAGTGAAATAAAGTATGATTCTTCCTTCTCGAGTGTCTGCTGCTGTATGTGAATGAGACTTAAATAGTACTCAAACGACACTACTGTGGAAGAAATGCATATTGTGAGCAACGTAATCAGGCAAGGAAATCTCTAAAAGGAAGTCTCAACTCTCAACAACAACAAAATTACATTGTAAGCGCCTTTCACGTCGGGAGGACGTCCCAAGGCGCTGAACAGTCAGGACCTGAGAGTGTGGCAGGGTTGGGATGAGGGAGTGAAGGGGAGGTAGGAGGGCGGCTGAAGGCACGGTCAGAAGGGAGGGTCTTTCAGGAGCCATGTGAAATGAGTGTGAAAAGATTTGTACCTTGTTGGTGGTGGGGTAATTGCTTATAAACGTCACAAGACTTACTTTGTGGCAAATGGAAATATCACACCTGTGAACTAGAAGATGCTTTTCTAAGTTTGAGGTTAACAAATTTAGTGTTCATTTTTGAGGTGTGTTAGAGGGAGATTTATCTATAATTAGAACCTAACTTCAGAGTTGTTCATTTTGACATGAGTACCGATATTGTATCTCTTTAGTTTAGCACTAAACTGTGTGCCACTTAACAGTACTACACAATGAATGCACTCTTGGTTTGTAATGATTGTGTCATTCTGAAAGAGTTGTGATTTTAATGCTACATTCTGTTGTGTCTGCGTTCAAATAATGAATTTGCTTTTGCAATGATTGAAAAATGTAAGTTGAGTTCAGTTGCCCAAAGTGAATATTGTTTATTGCCTCTACCAAGGTACATTTTTAGGCTAATCTGTTATTTAAGATAAATAATTATATTATGGCCATGGTGATTATTTTAATTAGAATTGAAGATCATAGAGCACTTTTTTTATATCCTCTCTCCATTAACAAAACATGCCATGGTGATTTCCACAATGCAGTCTCAAAACAGATCTCTCAATGGAATAACTAAAGTTGCAATAGGTAGATAGATTGATGCTACCGTAGGAATTACTGTTGCACTAACCCAAAAATAAATCTTATCTTTCTGGTGGGGAGAGAGAAATGGATGGCATTAACAATTTGGTTCAATGCAACATAGATATGTCCACTGGAGGGCAGCCTATGCTTATTTTTAAGAAATTATTTTTTCATTTGAAAAAAATAACCTGTATTGCAATTTCAAAGGCTAGGAAGCCCTTTATGTGCTGTCGTACTTAAATGTTTCAGATTGGGTAATCTTATTTTTATAGATTGTATTGTGACTTGTCATTTTCTTGCTACAAAGCTTGAATATATTCCAGACCGTCAACTGTGAAGTTTTTCGATCGTAATCCAGCTTGGTTATTTTAGATTTGATTTAAAATAAGCAGTGTGACAGATGTAAATATATTGATCACTTTGGTTTGCCTGTGAATGCAGGGAACTAGAGAACATGAGTAGAAAATTAACGAAGTCACAGGATGATTTATTTTTCCCCCGGAGTGCAGTGAATTACTGAAAAATAACCCTTAGATTTGGTTTGACAAGTCGGGAGGGTATCTGAAAGCGCTTCATAAGGTAAACTATGAGGTGGAGTGATTGCTTTGCGGACCAACGAAAGCGGCAGCCAGTTTGCACGCAATGTCCCATAAACAGGCACAAAGTCGACTGCCAACAAAGCAGTTGATGCTCTGTGATTACTTTGTTGAGAAACATCTCATCAGTTTAAAATGGGATTGTATAGTGCCAAATGCTATCTATTTTTTCAAGGAGCTGCACTGGCAGTTTTTTGTGTGGAATACAGGTCTTGGGTATACATATTTACATCTTACTTGACAGAAGTGAGACAAATATGGTTTGGGTTGAGGGAATCAGGTTGTGATTCTTTCGCTGAAGTGAGCAGTAACGTGGGCTTGGAACACAAGTGGTTTCATTCTCGCTTTCAGTAAAGTAAATAATTGTATCTATTTTACCATCAATTTACCTGTGCTGTTGTACAAGGCGCTATACAAGCGTAATTTGTTGTTGTTGGATGCTGTTTGGGCCTAGCCTATGATATAGATGTCTTGTCACTTCTCCCACCTTCCAATTGGCTGATTTCTACAATTAATTTAAGCTTGAGGAACAGGGGAGAAAAGTTGGAGGAGCAACTCATCTACAAGATGTTTTTTTCCCCCCCATCGTATTCAAGAGAGCTGGAAGGAGATCTTTTGGAGCAGTATTCAAGTCTTGGTTACATTTTGAATTTAGGTAGAGTTAACAATTGAAAAAATAAATGTAAGCCACGGAAAAAAGGAAACCAGAGTTTCATGGAGGCTGCCAGAGCAATGGGGGAGATGTAGTGAGGCCAAAAATATTATGAGAAGGTATCAAGAATGGTGTTATTGCAGTTCATAGCTGCAGTAGATGGTCCACACTTATTTCCATTCAAATGGCTTGAATTAATATGATGGATATTAAGTGTGATGTTTGGTTTTATTTCCAGAACTTAAATCAATTCAGCTCAGTAGAATTATATAAATTCAGAAATAATGAAGACTAGAAAATGTTGCTTTTCTTGCTCGATCTGAAAAAATGAGATTGATAAAACCAAATAGTCCATGATAATCCAAATAGCTCCATGAAACTAACTACTTCATTAATAGTCTTGCTAATTTTAGATACAACATTTAAAACATCTTTGCCATGTAATGCAATTCTGTACTCCAGGATGATGCATAGTGAAGTAACTTAATCTGTGTGTGCTTTTGCGCGTGATTTCCTGAAAACCTTTAACAAATTGCATTTGTATAGCGCCCTTCATGTCGAGAGGACATTCCAAGGTGGTGCAAGTTGAGGGTTTGCACCTGAACCAAGGTTTGGTTTAAGAAAAAAAAGCCTGGAACATTTTAGATTTGTATTGAACACCAACTCCGTATTTGCTTAAACATCAACATCACCAGTGCAGTCAAATTTTGATGTGCTCAGTGTTGCTATGGATTGGTCAACTAATACAGATTTCTCTCTCTTCATGGCACTTCAGTTCCCCTTCCATATTTACTCGCCATTTTTGATGCAAATTCTGTTTTTCAGGTTATAGCACGTAGAAGAGAGGATTCTGGAAAAGTAAAAGTACTGCTTCACTGGATGCCAGAAGATATGTAAGTATAGATAAAGCTTTTATCTGTTTTGAAAAAAGTAACATTTTGGAGGCTATGTTACTTTGTGGAAAATCGCTTTGTTAAAGTTGGGTACAAACAAATTTGGTTCATCGGATGATTCGACCTCTGGAATCAGACACCTGAGTTGTCTGATTTCTAGCTATTGAAGCTAGAAATACTCACTCTAAAGAAGTGACAAATTAGAAAATAACTTAAAACATTCAGATTCCTAAGTTCGTGGATAAACTGAATCGTGATGTGTTTAGCATGGTCAAAAGCATTTAGAATATGAAAACACTGAGTCAGAAGGAGGAAGAGACATTAATTGATTGAATTAAGTGCGTACAGTAGAACCCCAGTTATAAGGCAGACGTACAATCCATAAGGTTGCAGCCTGCTTTATAACCGGGCAGGTAGGTGGCTCTAGTTCCATCAGTGCTTATTCTGCTTTCAATTGCATTGTCCCACTTTAAAATCAAGTCTTGTACTGTCACACTACAAAACAACAACGCCATTTGAAGCACAATAATGCTATTTGAAGCATGATGCACAGTGATGGAACTGACTGTCTCTCTGCCTTGCATTTTATAAATGTCCGTTCCCGACCGCAAAAAAACAAATCCGCATAAGAAAAAAGCTGTTGGAATTGGTGATGACGTTCTTAGCTAGTGAAATGTTTCTGGAAGAGAAGCGCAAAATTTTGCTTATGCAGCCTTTCCCAAATAGAGAATCAACCCACGGCAGCCGAAAGGTTGGACCACCCTGATTTATAACATTGCTAAATAATAATTCTTGCATTTGTGTGAATAGGAAACGTTTAATCTATTTTGAAAGATTATGTTAAATTGCAGTGCCATGCAAATTAAATGCTTTGAAAAATAATGTTGCCACATCTGACTTGACAGTTCTACTGCAGTCATTTGAGTTGCATTGTCCGTTAATTGCTGTTGCGAGAAGTCATTCTATCCATTTAAATTTGTCATTGTGACCATTAGAACTAATTCATACCTGCAAATGCTAAATGTGTCTACTACACTGCACTAACGAATTGTTGCAGTGGCAAAGCAATTGGCATTGGCCACCGCTGTATGTAAATGACATTTGTAAATTAAACACGAGTAAGCATAGATATTATCTTCCCAAACATGGTTTGTGGCAGTTCAATTCAAATGTAATTTGGGTTTGATTGAGATAAAATAAATAGTGTCTTGTTTTCCAAATTGAAACTACACTATATGATGTAAAGGTTTATTTTTTGACTTTGTTAAATTGTGCTGCTCGTTCTTTTGAATATCTCTCAGCAAAACTACATATCTGTACCATTTTCTGACCCTATTGTATTTCATTATAAAAGTTAGATTTTTGCTCATTTTTTTTCCATTGTGCTGCCAATTTTCTTTCTCTTCAAAGCATCTTGACTGCTTTTCATTCAAATGGTTCCATTTGATGTCCTCTGATATCATGCCCAAGTGACCATTATTTACATGAAAGGCTAAGTTCACCTAACGAAGAACAGACTAGAATCAAGCCTGTAACCTTCCAACCTGTGTGGCCTTGTGCTCACTAGCAATTTTTATACACTAAGCTTTGGGGGAACCTACATTTCCCATTAAATATCTTTATTAATTTTATATTTTTGCAAAAAAATGCGCTCTCAATTGTAAATAGGATATTTGAATAGTTCTGTGCTAATGTTGAAAGGGATCTGTAAAAAGGAAATATTGGTAAAGCAACACCTAAACTGAATATTTTTGGTGGGATTTTCACGCTGTTTGGTTTGCAGTTTGTATTGTTGGATTGCTCGTAAAGTATATATATAGATATATATATATGCTCTTGTGAGTCCGTTAGTAACAGACTGTTGATTCAGTAATTTCTGGCAATCTTTATTGTTAAAAAGAGGCCAGTGTCTTTCACCTTGCTGAGTTAGTGAAATGTAAAAGACTCACGTAGGAATTGGTCCAGCTTTTTAAATGTTAAAATACTAAGCTGGTTCAGCAAACTAGAAATTTGCTGCTTCTAAATAAAAATGCACTATATTGTTTCAAGTCTTGGTTCGTTGCTAATTATCAAAGTTTGTACAAAGAATTCTGGGACTCTATCAGTATTGACTGATAATATTGATCATTATTCATTTTAGTCTTGGCGGTGGTTTATCTACTTATATATTTTTCATTGTCCACAGGTTAGCCTGCTTTAAAATAACCAAAGTGAACGAATGCATAACGGTCGTCACAAAATGAACTGTACACTTTATTTTAGATTTGCATGTTAGCTTTTTGTTTAAGAATGTTTATTGGGCATTTAATATTAGTCGTGAACGCTGAATTTAGACTCCTAATGAACTTGAAGGATTTTTTCATTTAACTTGTTTGTATTGTTACTATCCTATCTTTGTTTTGTTCCCCTTGAATAATCAGATTGTGCTTATTATTTTGCCAGTAGTAATAGGATTAAGTTTATGGCTGAGTCCTTAGTAGTTTGTGTAAAATTATTTTTAAAAATGAGAATTCTTCAGTAAGTACAAGCTCTTTGGAATAGTACACAATGCTATAATTATTTAGAAAAATTAAAATGTTTCATTTCTCCTTTTGAGTTGTGGTCTCTTCAACATCCTCCTTAACAGCCAGAGAGGACTTTGGTTTAAACATTACAGCGCTTCCCCAGCATAGCACTGGAATGACAGCCTAGACTGTGCACTGTGTGGTTCAAACTTTCTGATCCATACACATATGTGCAATCTGACACGCAGGCGCATTCAGTTCAACTACAGATCAGTGCTAAATGTTTCCAAGCAAAAAATGGTCATATACCCAGTGTTGAATGAGCATCGTAACTTTCTTTTTTTTCAATCTGCATTTTCTCCTGAAGAAATATTTCTAATATGCCAGCTGGTTTTCTGCAAAGGTTAAATATTTAACATCCCAACGTTTTCTTTTTTAGTCTGCCTGATGTGTGGGTGAATGAAAATGACAGAACTCAGCTGAAGACACAAACGGTACATTTGTCAAAACTACCACAGGACACTGCATTGCTTCTTGACCCAAATATATACAGGTGAGGTTCAGATTTGTTACCTCAATTATCAGTGTTACACAGAAAATGAGTTTGCAGCTGTAGCTTATATCAAATCAACCAAGGTTCCAACTATAGTTCAAATGATTGATATATCAGTTGATTTAATTGTTCATCCGTTTTATATTTAATTTGTCATCTAAGTTTTCACTGAGAATAGCAATGGTCCAGATATAGATTCACGAGCAATTTACCATAACCCTGTTTTTTTTCTCAACACACATAAGGGAAATAGTCAGTGTGCTTTATTCCTCCTCTGTTCTGTATTGTCAAAGCAATGTATTTTTTTTGGTTAGAACATGCTACTAACACTTGAGTGGTTAATGAATAAATTTCGCTCTTCCACACGAGTTTAACTTAGTGGAGGTAACTTAGCGGGGATGTGTGTACTAATTGATACCAGCCCCATTGTGGATATGTTAATGCAGAAAATAATTATGCAAAACACATATTGCAAAGCAAAAACTACTTGCATCAGGAGTTATACTGTCACTTGAGTACTACACTGTGCTAGACCTTCCTAGATTTTCTCCTTTCTATTTTTTCAATTCTTTTCTTTCAGTTTCTTTCTTTTTGTTCTCTCTCTCCACTCTCTCTCTCTCTCTCTCTGAAGTCTGACAACATCGGTGATCAGAATAGCTTTTCAGATTCTTTCCACTTGAGCAGTTTTGTAAGAGAACTTTCTTTAGTCTTAAGAGTTTGTCTATGTATTGGCTACAATAATGAGAGTACTGTTTGTTATTGAAGTTACTTTATATTTCAGAATATGAAGCTGTTTTTTATTTATTGTTAACCTTGCCAAATACCTCTTCGAATTTTGAGTTTGTGTGAGAAACTTGATCGTTGAAACCCAGCTCATCATATTGGCCAATCTGCAAACAAAAGCTTGAAGGAAAGTTTGAGACTTAGCTAGGATCTAGAGCATCTAATGCAAGAAGTATGATCTTGAGGGATTATTACCCCCAGAAAGCGATCCGCCAATCAACTAACATCCCGAGTCCTCTCACTTGTGCAGCGAGTGCTGTAACCACTACAGGACTCCCGAGTAAAGTCATATATTGAACTGATTTTTAGCATGCGTGATTGCCTTTTAGACTACCCTTTTAATTAATGATGTATTTACATTTGCACTGTGTGGTTTCATATATTTCACTTATCTAGTTTAATTTGTTTAGCATAATGTTGGACAGCAATTAATTATCTTAATTCTGGGAATTAAACAGTTTCGCACTTTGCTATTAGAGACCTTATGAACTGTCTCTGGTCAGATGTTTGCAATTGTCTGATGCATTCCAGACCCTTATGCTAACCTAGGCTACAATTTCGAGAAGTAATTATTACAACGAATTGATATTTTCAGTCCCATATTTCTTATCTTAATCATCTTAAGATTAATAAATATCAAATTTTTAGGTAGATTTATTCGGGTTGAATGTCAATTCACTCGATGGTATGAAATTACTTAACGTTCCTCTTTACATAGCTTAGTAGTGTCAGAATCCTTATTTGTAGAACTATTAAGTATTTTAGCTTTAATTTGACTAGATATTAGTATTAAGTACTAGATTGTTTTTTCAAAAGTAATATCAAATCAATTTAGTGAAAGACAACCTTAATTGACCTGTTATGTTTGTTTGGTGGGCATTTAGTGAGGACAGAATCAAACTTGGCTGTAATGGTACAACAATAGCTTACTGATGGTCACTCTCTAAGCTTACACATGAATTGTCACTTGGGAAGGTACCTTAAGAAGTTGAAAAACAGAGCAAAATAAAGTGCTTTGTTCATGCCATGGTTTACTGTGATTCAATGCATGATATCAGCAAGTAGTGGAATGCACAATAGAGAGAACGGGTATGTGTAAGCCAGATCACCGAAACTTGAAATCTGTCATTCTGAAAGAGAGTGATACATAAAATTACAGTTTCAAAACCTAATCATCACTAGGATCTGAAGCTGGCAAGTTTTCATTTAAGATATCAGCAAAAGGTCTTTCTGGTCCTTAAATCACTGGGGTTTTTCTGTAGTTTTATGATTAGATAAATCTGTTATTCTTCTGTACTCTCTCCCTCCCTTCCCACCCCCGTGTCATCATAAGAAATGTGAGTGGAAATGTTAAGTGGATCATGAAAATCGCGTATATGAGATTCGCCAACAAAGCTGATACTGACATTCACACCTGTATTTACTCTTCATTCAAATGTAGCATTTATAAATTCTTATTTTGGAAGCCAAGCTTTTATGTTTTACTTAAAATTGCAATCCATATGCTAATGTTGATGAAGGGAAGAGTTATTTTGTTGGTTTTATTTATGGGAAATATTTGTTTTCTAAAATTAATTTATTGAATTTGTGGTCCGTTTTTTGAAACTTAATCTTCAGATTTATTATCCTGAGGATATTCACTTACATTTATGTAGAAGGTGTGTTAAAATGGGTTATTAAACTCCTGTTGAATTGATACAACAATTTAATAAAAGTGAATCCCAATCATTAATAAGGCCAAACGTTAATTATAACTGAGTATACTGAGAGTTAAATGTACATAATTTCCGATTATAATGAAAAGCTTATCTGGCCACACTAAGCAATTAAAATGCATAGAAGATCCATGGAAACAATGGTGGAAATAACATTTGGCCCTATTGATATGTTGTATTTCTATAAAGCATTTATTTTTTCAACCAGTTTTACCTCTGTATAGTCCAGTTAAAGAATACCTTTTTTTAATATCTATCCAGTTATTGGATGGACTACTGTGTTCTCAAGACTTATTGGTCGCCATTGGTTGCCCTCCTTTGGTTTAGAATTGAGCGTTTTTATAGAGTACAAAATGTTGAGCTTTCAACCACTGAAACCACATACTGCATTTGTGTGCCAACGCAGTGTACTGTGCTACCAAATAATTCAGCTTGGAGCTGTTTTTACTTATGCTGACAGGCCGACTGGGTGCTTACAACATTATGAACATGGCTCCATGGTTGACACATGACAACTAAACATCACTTAAGTCTAGAAGAAGCAGAACAGGTAGGGCTAAACAACAATCAATTTGCATTCTACTGACATTGACATACTGACATCAACAGTCCTGATCCCCCACCGTTCAGCGCCTTGGGACGTCTTCCTGACGTGAAAGGTGCTTTACAAATGTAATTTTGTTGTTGTTGTATTGTTGCAAGTGCACCCCAAAAAGCAGGTCACACTTACACCCAACTGGGAAAAACAGTTTATTTTGTTTTAGATGTTGGTTGGTTCAGAGCAGTATTTTTACACAATGCAATAACTTTCATCGCTGAAAATATAACATTCTATTCTTGACGATCTGTGATTTTTTTTATTTGCGTGTGACACGTTTATGGCTTCTAACTATAGGATGTCACTTAGGGCTTGTGCATTATGTTTTAGAGCTCCTGCCAAATAGCACTTATGAAATGAGGGATATGTTTATATCTGATTTTTCAGTACACTTGGAAATAAAGATAGAAGACTTAAAGACCAAATCACGAATTAACCTAAAGTTGAAGCTATGTTTCTAAAGTATTGAAAGTTCCCTCTTATTTAGTTTGAAATCCCCAGCTGTGTAATTAACCCCATCTGATATTTTACTGTTACTGCACCAATTGTACTGTTTATATAAGCAATATGTGTTTTTTCACATTTTAAATCTCAGAGAATGTTGAAAGAACAGGAGCCATTTCTAGAATTGCCAAATTGATATAAACTTTGTCCGTCCCACATAATTATGCATTTAAAATATTCAGCTATCTGGGTCCATTTGTTCTTTTCATTACGAATCTCATAATTTCATGGAGCAGAGAATGGAACATTGCCTCTTCAAAAGCCGCACTCAGCACAATTATGTTGTTCAAGTGATTTTTCTATTACTTCTGGTACATTACAGGCCTAATTCTGAACTGCGCCCTTCGTATAGTTTCTGTGGTTGGTAGCAATAGTCTTGACTATTTACATACACCAGAAAATGTTTTGGGTGGTATTGTAAAGTTCTGCTTAGTACCCATATTATTTTATCTCAGCTAATGGTTGCTCCAGGTGAGTGTTAATTAACTGGGGTCAATCCATGATTGGCTTAGTTATTTTTTTTTTTACTTGGTCACTAATTGATGCCAACCTTTGCTTTCAAAATTTGTTCCAAATATCACACAACAACAACAACAAATTACATTTGTATAGCGCTTTTCATGTCAGGACAACATCCCAAAGATATCAGATGAGGAAAAAAAAACTTTTAGCCTATTCAGTCTCATCCTTCCTGACTAGCAACCTTGTGTTCTTTCCATTGCAGCATAATCAGGCTGTTTCTTAAAATGGTTCTATGTACTGTGGGTACTGGTCTCGGCCACTTCTCATGATGGCCTGTTCCAGAAATGCTTTCTTGTGACTATCTTGTTACAAAAATAGGATTTGCTCTGCATCGCTGTAGTTGAGGAATGCAGCAATCAGTTTTATCTTGGAACATGAGAAATTTGTTTGACTTTCCAATTCAAAAATGAATGCCAAATTACGGAGAGACTAAACGAAAACTCTTCATTTTGTGAGAGGTGGAGGAGGACTGTGTTTCAAACCAAATTGATGCTTATGTGGACCTACTTTGCCTGACAAGCAATTTATCTTTCGAATGATATCGGTCCATGGAACCTCTTTGTCACTTGCAAGTTTTAGAACTTGCAAAAGGAAGAGATTTCAGCGAATTGCATACACAGTATTGTACTGCTCGCAGAACTTTATAAAGGGCTTAAATCAGGTTCTGCAACAACACTTGCAACTGGAATTAGATTTGTTTCTCATTATCAGATGGAATTTTAGGGAAGCATTATATTTTCAGAATGATCAACATTTTCAAAATGATATCTATCCTACTTACTGGGCCAACATTGGATGTTAATTTGGTGCTACATCAATTCATGTACTCGCCATTTTAGCTTGTGGCTACTCCTGAAGAAAAAAAAAACTCACTACTTTTAACTTTCAAGTGAGTAAGCTACTGGTCAAGAAGCAATTACATTCTTTCCGGTTTATGGTGAAGGTAGGACAGTGTTTTTCTCACTTAAGGAATTGAAGCCTTTATTTTTGTGTCATTTGCTGCCCTACAAAATTATGCTCTAGTCAACATCTGGATAACTAAATTACTGCTCAACTCCTCCTGTTGCATTTTCTTAAAGTTGTGTGGAACGATTTTCGAGGTATGTCTTCGCAATGGAGAATGGGTTTTAGAATTCAAACAGCTCTTTTTTTTTTTTGCAGGACAATGCCACATAAAAGGCCGAAAAGGAGGTAAGGTCCAACCCAGGAACCAGAGTTGTCTCAATTATAGCCACTGTGATTGGGATACAATATTGCACATTAGAATCACTTTTTCCTCCCAGTCGTAGACAATTAACTATTTGTACTAAAAAAAAGACTGAGAAAAAGGATCCAGACACTTCGAATTTAACGCTCTCCCGTTTCTTTCTGGATGGGATGGTACAATGGGAAAAAAAACTACAGGGACTGTATGCGATTTACAACGAGTTGAGCGTTATGAGAAGCTTCGACCTTGGGACTTGTTTGCTTACTGCATTTCCCTTCTCTTCCCTTTCTCCCTCTTCCATCCCCGCCCTTCCCCTGGCCCATAATTTTCTAAAATGAGGACGGGAAGTTTTTTTTTTGTTGAACTTAATGGTCATTAATTTCTGATAAACTGTATTGATTTTGTTTTCTTCGTGGTGCATCATGCCCTCCCGGTTTCATTAGTTTTTTTGTATTAATATTAATTTTTACAGACAACTGTACAATATGTTCATAATTTTTTTGCAATTATGAACAATAAAAAATAAGTGTAATATGAAAATATGATTTAAAACACTGAAAACTATTACTTTCTGCTTCCAGTCTGGATGTGATGCTTGGGGCAAGACCTAGTAAAGTTTTATTTCAATGCACCAAAGCTTGCTGCATAGATGATCTTAGAGATGAGATTAATAACTGATTGAATCGTTTGGTAATCTTCATGCTTAATATGTACATCACATGAGAAAAAAATATTTTTACTTGTAGGAAGATGGCAAATATCTAGAATATTCTGTAACATCTTAGTCTTATATAGTTTCAGAAAGCATAAAGGGTTGCGTTCAGATAATAGTAAATTGCTTGTAAATATTTCTGCAGATTTGTAATATATTTTTATACTTTAAAATGTACTGTAGATCTCAATTTTGGTTTACTTTTTAGGAGCATGAAAGTAAATAAAATTTTGAAATGTATATATTATGGTAGGACAAATATTGAAGGATGATGTAATTCAATTGAGCTGCCAGAATAACTGTTACAAAACATAAGCACCTTTCCTAATTTTAAATATGAAATCTTTTGCAGTTCTCTGCGACTGCAAAATAAAAAAAACTACTGCTAATGTCTTAACGTATTGTGCAGGATATGAACAGCATGATTTGGATTGCGTTGTTAAACTGTACAGACGTTTGGTAGTTTTCCTGGGGAAAGACGGTCTTTTTAAAAAGCCTGCAAAACACTCTTTTTCGTACAGTTTTAATTAAAAAAAAACCTTCATGTAATGTATTCTTACTTGAGCACTTCATCTGTATCCACTGCTTCGTTCTTCGTCTAAAACAACTTGCTACTGCTTTTTGGCTACATCTTTTTATAATAAAGTGACCAAATGCAAAAAACAAATGAGTGTGGCTTTCTGTCTTTAATCTTATGATATACTATGTACAGAAAAGACTTAATTGTTAAAATCATTCAGCTGAACTGCAAAAATGTAGGCAGTATGGGAAAACCTCGTAACTCATCAGTGACTATCAATTGTGAATTCATAATTTTCTTCCCTCAATGGGGTTTCAGTTCACTTATACATGGTTTTGGAATCAACTACTAAACAGAATTACAAAAGGACTCAAAGATACAGTTGTTCCAGTGAGTTTGCTGCAAAGGTAAATGATTGGCAATGCAAACATATAAAATTGGATGAAAAACCCAAGGCTTGTCTAAATCTAAATGTTTCAGTATTGAGGAAAGGGATTTACGCTAAATTTAAGGAACAACTTGTAATATTCTTTAAAAATTAAATGTTACACATCGGTCTACCTCAAACTACAAAATAAATATCACCACGGTAAGTTGAGGAGCTCAGTCGGAAATATTGTATGTTCCTTTACTGTTCTGTTTGCAAGAAAACATAGATTATCTTGGATTTTGTGTTGGACAGAATTTTTCAAACAATCAACATGAAGAAAATTCCCAGGCAGTTTTCAAAAACTGCTAAGGTGGTTTGATAGTGATGGAGATAATAGCATGTTCATTTTTAGCAGCTTTTACATGGTTGCTTTAGAGAAAAGTATTCAATACTAAAAATATCCATTCTCAACTCCCTACTCTTTTTTTAGGAATTCATTTTGCCCTCGTTCAACCTTGTGTTCCTTTTCATGGATGACTACCTTTTTTTAAACTATAGAAGCTGTTGTTTTGCATTATATTATTTCTTTCCAAGATAATAAATATTTAATGCACATGCTGTCACTAATGTGCAAAATGCCACATGCCGACTCTTTTTAAGAATGTTTCATTTATTTATGGATCGCCTGCAACATTCTCAATTCTCACTCCAACCCCAGGGAAAATAGTTTAATTTTAAGTCAATATTAATGTAATTTTTGTCTTGAATTAATAGATTAAAGTCAGTCCTGGTTTAGATAACAAACAATGAGCTACCACCACCTTGTGCTTAAGCACTGTTCCCACATCGTCTTGTTATTTCTCTCTCTTTTAAAAAAAANCACACTAAAATTTTGGTCTGGTCTGCCGAGCCAGAATTTCCAGCCAAGTGTAATTACAATGGCTTTACCAGCTTTCTTCGGTGCTGAAAAATACCAGCAAATTCTGGGACCGGCATTGTAATTGTTTGAATCCTGTGAGCAGAAGATAGCAAATAAGCTTAACAATAATAGTAAGGATTCAAACTGAGTCAAAGTGAATATATCTGGCCACTGAAGGCCAAGCACGGTGAGGTGGGAAAGCTCTCTTGCAGAGTGAGCTGGTAGGAGTCAACACATGGCCACAAATTTGATTTTTTAATTTATAAGGCCAGGGTTTACCTTAGCTCCTATGTCTTCAACCTTGCCTGTCACCTTCCTTCAGATTCCTTCCACTTATTGCTGCATGTCCTCCTACTCCCATTTAATTGCTTTGCAACTTTAATTGGTCTATCCACACAAGTTGTTGATCAATGAATTATGAGGCTAATTGCATTCTGCATCTTCGGTGTGGCAGTGTAACCTCACGTATGTGATCATGAAACAAAGAAACTGAAAAACATTTTCCTTTTGGGCGAAAATCAAGCTTTATTCAACTTAAATTGCGTAAATCCCTGTTTATAAAAATGCCACAAGCAATGTAAGATACTCCTATACCAATTGTAAATGTTTTGGTGAAAACATTAAATGTATAATGAAGGTAATAGTAATCTGCTGTCATCGAACAAAATAAAATTGAACTGAAAATACATTTCATGAAATTGCTGAATTTTTACGGTTGTGAATTGAAAAATGTGAGTTCAACATTACTTCTCTGTTATTGTTTCAATAATACCTTTACTTAAACAGCAACATCAAGACACAGATCGTATCATCAATTCCAGGATGTTTGTAACTTAACGTAATAGTTATTTCATAACATAGTTGGGTTGACTTTTTAATGGCCAGAACTCTTTGTTGGGTCTGAAAGCAATGCTCCACAGTTTCTCCCTGTCATGGACATGGTGATGTGTATTGGTCCTGACAGCCATAAATGTTTAATCATTGCAAACACATAGCACAGATGCTGGCTCTCTGTTTAGACTGGCAGCCTAAGGATAAACCCCTTCTCTCTAATAGGTCAGTTACATAAAGGCGAGGAGCTGCAACTATTCCAGGAGGACTGCAAGGACACGAGAGAATGAACCAAAACATGAGCCTTGTTACCATTGAACCATGCTTAACATATAATAGAGAAACTGTTATTTCATTGAAAGTAAATGGTTAAGTATTTATTCTGCAGCAACAAACGTGGCATTTGTAGCACTAACTGTCTTAAATTCTTCTTTATTCAATAAATTAAGGATTAAGATCTATATTTGGTTAAAGTTGATAGGAAATTGTGATTGGAAACGATTAATGCAAGTAAATATTTGGTAAATTTGTAGCACATCTCAGCACACATAACTTAATTGGTTTAAAAATGTATTTGATGATCACGTTGAAGACTGATCCTTTGCATTCATTTCACTATTTTGGAATAATAACCCTCACTCTTTTTGCAGCATTGACTTTCAAAAGCACCATTAATTACGCTGGGCAGTCTAATCAATGTATTGTTCAAACCCAGGTATATGCCCCGAAACTCTGGAACTCCCTTCCTCAATCCCTCCGCTTTGCCTCACTTTCAAGTCCCACCTAAAGATATTTTTGATCACGATTACGGTCACCTCCCATTACTGGATTGATACTCTCACAATTTTAATCCCCCTCAACTTTTTATCCAAACAAGCTTTTAAAGTACAAGTAGATTCTTCCTTTCTGCTTCAAGCACATAAAATTATTGGCACAATTTATTGGCTTGAAATGGAGTAATTGATCGTGCAGTACCTTGTGGTTACTGATGATTGGCATTGGGTGTTCTGAAGTCATGTAATTGGTTACAGCTGTTTAATTCTAGTATTGCAACACGGAGGAGGTGTAATTCAAAGTAATGATACAGAGCAGTTACCTTAGTTTATTGATCAAACAACTCATTGAAGCGGTTTACTTTGGACATCATTCTGGCGCCTGTTTATGCAGGTGTATCCCCTGTTCACGCTGGCGAACTGAAGTACAAAAAACATGCACGTGAATTCTGCATCATCCCTTTGACTCCTGACAAGATACCCGTGTCCTACAGTTTATATGGCTCGTGTACAAAAAAGCTAACGTGAGCGAAATAACTGCCGTAAATGTTGAGGTACCTCAACATCTGACGGAGGAGAGTTCAGAGGGTAAGACACCCAAGATTGAACTTGAGAGTTGCCATGTGGCTTCAAGATTCATGAGACAAGTCCTCCTACCGCCCAACAAGGAAACAAACTCAGGTAAATCAATCTTCAACCACAGTGGGACTTCGTACCATGTAACATTGTGTGTCTAAATCCTTTAAAGCCTTGTTTTAAAATAAACATCGTGTGATGAAGGCAAACAAAGAGTTAAATTATTCAGTTAGTTATAATCTTTGCTTTTGATATCTCACCTTATCATGTCGTTGAGGCGTCTCAAAGTGCTTCACAGAATATAATGTAAAGTGAATTGACTGTTTTGTGGTTCGAAACGCGGCAGCCAATTGCGCAAGTGAGAGACCTGCCTTCGATTCCTGGCAGAGCGAAACCTTGGGCAAGTTTCCTTACTCCACACCCACACCTGATAATAATCCCTTAAGAAAAAAACAAACAATAATATTTCGGTCACTCAATCTACGACTGTTTGTGGGACACTGTTGCGCGCAATTGGCCGCTGCGTTTGGTCCATAAAAATATAGTCAATTCACTTTGCAGTATAGAAGACACGAAATGTGCTACATCAAATCAAGGATTAGTATTTTAGCAGTGTCCCACAAACAGTCGTGGATTGAGTGTCCAAATTATTATTTGTTTTAATAGATTTGGAGCAAAAAATATACATCAGATGACTGAATACATATTCTTGTGAATTAGTGATTTCTAAACAACAACAAAATTACATTTATACAACAACAAGATTTCACTTATAGAGCGCCTTTCATGTCGGGAGGACGTCCCAAGGCGCTGAAACAAATTGTGACTAATGTTTTATAGACCTTTTGATGTGTTAAATGCTTGAAAACACCAGGGGCCATTCATATGGTGGTGTAGAAATACTGTATCCTCAGAGGAAGAACACAAGGCCGTCACGGCTAGGAATTTAAGCAATTTACTTTCCCAGCATAATAGTTCCAGGTTCGTTAAAGTAACCTGCCATATGGTGCTATAGCAGCTTCAGTGCTATCGAAAGTGTTACACGAATTACCTTTAAACCTCTGCACCTGAGAGATTCTGTGTATGAAATAGAAATCTTCAAGTGAACAACTGTGCTCTGTGGAGTTTCATTTTGCCACCGCTGGAAATCCGTAAGTGTGCTGAACAAGCTTGGAATTGTAAGCGCCCTTCACCTTTGGTTTCTCACTCAGTTAAATTTACACTCCTTAAAACAGGAACCACGCTGAACACATTTAGAGACAGATTGCCGTTGTCTGCGGACATATGAAATGCGAACCAGGCCTGCAGCCATTCATATGGTTTTGCTTAAGAAGCTTCCTTCAGCAAAGGGACTTGATGTACAGACTCTGGATTCCTGGCTGGGTGTTTTCTCAGTGTAATGAGTGTGTTTTTTTTTTGATCCGATCAATGGGTCAGTTCTTGAAATGAAATGAATGAGGTAAATCGTAACGGCCCAATGTATCTAAAGTACTGTGAAAAGACAGCCAGTCAGTGATTGGAGAAACTTGAGGAATCCCTCGTCGGCTTTAGGCATTCCGCTGATCGAAGAAAGTCGACGGATTGGAGCAAATTCAGAGAGAGAGGAAAAAAAGCAACAAGGAAGATATCAGAAGTTAAAGCTCTTATCTGAGCCGTGGGGTGGTGTGGGGGGCA